TACAAATTACTTGGACAACCCAAAAACATTTTGTGAAAACATATTATGTGCAATCTTAAGCTAGTTGTATTGTATAATACAATAACAAATGCCATTGAATCATATACCTGAAAAAACTGAGAATACCAGGAGATTAGATTTCTATAAAAAGGGATTTATGGTATAAGGAAAAAATGAAAGCGTTAAAATACATAAATAAAATGCTATATGAGTTGAAAAAGATAAGACTGGATTTGGATAGGTTGACAAGAATGAGTTCATAAAATCTCTCGTTTGAACAGAGATTTTAAGGTTTAATCTAATTAAGGGGAAAACTGGGTAAAAAGGTCATTACATTGGAGGGAGTAACATAAAGAAAGGCATAAAAGAAAAACAAAGTGCAGAGACAGTTTCTGGAAGTGTAAGCAATTTGATTTAATTAAAATATATGCAATGTGAGAAGGTACAATGGCGAAATAAAATTGGAAAGGTAAATTGGACCTAAAATGCTATTCAACAGTGTTTAGACTTTAGTTTTATTTAGTAAAGTATTATCAAAGTGTTTTGAGCATAAAAGTGATTTGATAATAGTTATGATTTTGGAATTCAGCATCATCAATTTGGTTATCCATTAAGACAGCAATAATTGAGCTACATCTAGTTAGCTTGTCCACTACTTTAAAGGAATGTGTGTGACCAATCTGGAACTTAGCCATGTTGTTGTTGTTTTTAAGTGTCATTGAGTCAGTTCCAATTCATAGAACCCCTGTGTACAACAGAATGAAACGCTGCCTAGGCCTGTACCGCCTCCCAATTATTCTAACATTAGAGCCCACTGGGCAGCAACTGTGTCAATCCATCTCATTGAAAGCCTTCCTCTTTTTCTCTCCCCCTCTACTTTACCACACATGATGTCTTTCTCCAGGGACTTCCCTCTCCTGACAACATGCGAGAACTATGTGAGAGAAGTCTTGCCACCCTTGCCTCTAAGGATCACTCTGGCTGTACTTCTTCCAAGGCAGATTGGTTTGTCCTTCTGGCAATCCATGTCACTTTCAATATTCTTTGTCAGCACCACAATTCAAATTCGTCAATTCTTCTTTGGTCTTATTTATTCAGTGTCCAACTTTCACATGCAGCATATGAGGCAATGGAAAATACTATGGCCTGGATCAGGGACATCTTTGTCCTCAAAGCAACATCCTTGCTTTTCAATACACCAAGAGGTCTTATACAGAAGATTTACCTAATGCATCTTATCTTTTGATCTCTTGACTGCTGTTTCCATGGGCATTGGTTGTGGACACAAGCAAGACAAAATCCTTGACAACATCAAACTTTTCTCTATTTATGATGTCACTTTTTGATCCAGTTTTGAGGATTTTGATCTTCTCGACATTGAGTTGTAATGCTTACTGAAGGCTATAGTCCTGAATCGTCATTAGCAAGTACTTTAAGTCCTACTCACTTTCAACCAGCAAGGTTGTGTCATCTGCATACACCAGGTTGTTACGCTTTCCTCTAATATTGATGCCACTTTCTTCCTTATATAATCCAGTTTCTCTGCTAATTTGTTCAGCTTACTGATTGAATAAGTATAGTGAGAGGATACAACCCTATCGCACACCTTTCTTGATTTTAAACCATGTGATATTCCCTTGTGTTCCCAGAACTGCATCTTCATCTATGAACAAGTTCTGCATGAGCACAATGAAGTGTTCTAGAATTTCCATTCTTCCCGAAGTTTTCCATAATGTGTTATGACTCACAAAGTCGAATGTTTTCACTTAATCAATAAAACCTAAGTAAACATCTTTCTGGTATTCTTTTCTTTGAGCTAAGACCTATCTGACACCAGCATGATAGGTCTTGTTCTAGGTCCCCTTCTAAATCTGGCCTCAGCCTCTGGCACCTTCTTGTCAATATCATACTACCACCACTTTAGGACGATCTTCAGCAGCATGTTGTTGCATGTGATATCAATGGTACTTTTTTGTA